ACGCGTCCACGACTAGGAGCAGGACACATCGCCTGGACACCGGACACCACTCTTATCCCAGCACATATGCACTACAACGTGACGTCACAGCAATATCGCAATACGTGTCTAAGCAGACTTCAGCAAAGAGGACACTTCGATTCTAGCACGGGAAATTTGCCACGGACTTTACTGAGTTACTGAATAGTTACCTGGGGACCTCAGGCTATTATGTTCATGAACGAATAGAGATTAGGCGGAATGACAGGCTGAGCGCGGCCCAGTAACTGAATATACTCTTTACTCCCATCTTTATCGTCTTGATATTATACTAATTGTCAACGTTACTTTTATTCGTATTTTATCCAACTGTTTTAATTGTTCAACGTTAGACAGGACCTAAAACTAATAGCCTATAAACGGGTCATTTATAATAAAAATAATTGAAAATAAAGAATTGTTTTGAATATGAAAGTTGTATGTAATTCTTGACGGATGTTACTCGTCTAAATTTCTTCGAAGTAGCGCGCGCCGCTTTCAGCTTTCTTCTCGAAATGTTATGGCCCGATGGCAAGTGCTACGAAGTAGCGCGCGCCGGGCCAGATCATTAACAATGGTCAAATGTAATTCTTATTATGATTATCGACAATAAAACAGTCAAGCAGGTAATCATTATGATTAGAGTTAACGCTTTACTTTGACGAATGTTACTCGTCTAAATTCCTTCGAAGCTAGTAGCGCGCGTTGACGGATGTTACTCGTCTAAATTTCTTCGAAGTAGCGCGCGCCGCTTTCTTCTCGAAATCGATGGCACGAGCTACGAAATAGCGCGCGCCGGGCCAGATCATTAACAATGGTCAACGCTTTACTTTGCCATTAAATTCCAACTTATGAATAATAATCGAAGAAAGTCCATTATACAAAATCAATATCAAAGTTTGAGTATCAAGAAAACTTAACAATATCGATAAACTCACTAACAAATAATTAAAATTAGTATTATAATAAGGGCCTGTCGTGATATGTAATGGAAGTGGTGTATCTGCGAGGGATGTAGCGTTTTCTTTGATTAAATTTTGGAGAGCTAGAGGGGGAGTTTCATCGGACTGAAGCATCTCCTTCGTAGGCGAGGGTTCAGAAGCAGAGATGGACAACAATATACCCTTTGATTCACCACTTGAGGATTTCGGTTTTTTTCCGTTAGCTGCTCGTGAGATCATAACATATTGATTTTTTATAGGGAAGTTTTTAGCTTGGACTTGGAGAAGAGTTCGACCCCTGGGGCCAATTAATTTGCTGTTAATTTTTTACTTCTCTGCTTGGTAATCCTGACCATGTGTGGACAGTAGCAAGTAGTATTACCAAACAACTCTTTTTTTCGAATTTACAAATTATACTGTTAAAATAATACTCCATTGAAAAAAATCAGTATAAAATCAGCACAAAATCAAACTTAAATCATAGCATAATTATACTTGACAACTTTTTTCCCCCGATTTACTGCACGAAGTGGTGACTAAGTTGTTTGCATGTTATTGTAGGAAAGTAACTGAAACCAGTGTAGTTAAAACGTTAATGATAAGGTTGAAATAATATCAGATCAGGGTGAGAGTAATATAAAATGACACTTACGTTTGACAGTGTACCACACCACCGGTTACTAAATAAGGTAAAGAATTTTGGGATTCCCGAGGGTATTATTGATACCATTGAGAACTTTTTAGTTGGGAGGTCAATGAGAGTAAAAGTAGGTGATGAATTTTCTGAAATAAAATTTATACTCTGTCGACCTTCGCTCTTTTCATTATTTGTTAATGATCTTCCAGAAGGGATTAAAAGTATAATTAAACTATTTGCTGACGACGTTAACAGTAAAAATGATTGTTAACCCTATTTATAATTTATCAGCTGATTTACTGCTTTCAGAACTTTGGGAATCCAATTGGTGTTTAAAATTTAACGTAGATAAATGAATGGTCATGCAAATTGGCTCTGGTAGTGGTAATCCTAAGAATCAGAACTTGTAGTTGTTCGGTGGTGTGCCTTTGAGGTCTTTAACAGTGCTTTTAAATTTGAAGATCACGTGAGAAAGTGCATTGCTAAAGCTAATAGAACCATTGCCTGGCTTACAAGAAATATTATATCGAGGGAAACAAGCGTTATGCTGGGCTTGTATAAGTCACTGGTAAAGCCTCATAATCATATAGGGTATTGTTCGCAGGCATTGGCTCCGATGGCAATGCATGGTAATTGGTCACTGATCCGTGAATTGGAAGGTATTCAAAGATCATTCACCCGTATGATCGATGGATTGGGCCTCATGACCTACAGAGAGAGAGACTGGATAACTTGAAGCTCACAACCTTGCTTGAACGTAGGGTCCGTGGGGATCTCATTGAGAAGGCTTTGTGGATTATGAGTCTGATCTATTTGGTCGTGCTGGTAGGACTGTCTCTGCTAGGTCGAAGCCACACAGATTTACGACGAATGAGACTGACTTCTTTGCCCAAAGGGTCTTGCGCTACTGGAACAGTCTACCACCACTTATGAAAGCTAGTGAGTCGGTTACTGGATTCAAAAGTGGATTAGACGCCTTTCGGCTTCATGGATATCAGGCTAATAAGCTTGGGTACTACTGGGAACTGTCATATGACATCTTTGATCGGATAGATGAGTCAGTGTCTAATAGGAATAATTATATAAGTTATATGAAATTGAATCCAATGATAGCTAATAGCTATAAGACTAAGAGGAAGAAGGTTAATATCAAAGGTGTTTAGTTGAATTTTTTTAAAAAGTTTGTAATTATATGGTTTTAAACTTAAATCGTTCATTTTCTGTGAATGTCTTGTTGAGATGCCCAGAGAGGCATTAGTTATTATGTTATGCTATGTTATGTTAAAAACTGTGAGGCAATTTCATAGTGATCATGGTGTTAAAACTTGAGTACTATAACTTACTGTTATGTAAATTGAATACAGAGTGACTGTGACTGAGAAGTGATTATATTTGTCCTAGTAGTAGTACTAATAAGCTAATATAGTAATCGGCTACACAGTACACACACATATCTACGTGCCATATGTAAGGACACACATAACACACTAAAATTAATGTAAATAATTACCGGACTTTATTATTCACGGACCTTAATGCAACAGACATTATTGTCACGGACTTAATTATTCACGCTAAGGTCTTCTGCGTGAAAATAATGTCCGTGACTATTATGTCCGATAAGATAGTTGATCTCGTCGACGGTCAATATTTGGAACACATATTTTACGAGTATCACTTGTTAAATGAATCCTTCCCATTCCATTATATCTCAATACCTAGCTGAAGTTGGCGTACAAGTCATCCTGCTGCAAGGTGTGTCCTCTTTCTGGGAGAGTAGGTTTGGCAACTTCACTGCAACTTCCACCTTTCTTTTGACTGGTCGAAGGCTCAGCTTGGTACACCATCTGTATATCTTCCATCATGATCCTTGCTCGTCTTTCCCTCCACGTGAAAATAATATTTCCGATGACCATGGTAATTATGATCACGGAGAGCGCTATGAACACCATTGACAGAATGTCAGCAGACTTTTGGCAGATGGTTTTATTTTTGGACGGTGAAGTTCCTTCTGGACAGATGCTGCAAGTAGCCCCGTTTCCAACGTGATTTTCTGGACATTCAGTACAGGCATGGTTCTCCCAAAAGTATCCTTTAGGACAAGAGGAGCATTCAGAAGATTGGGACTCAGATACTGTGAAGATAGGGCACTTTGGGCAGACGGAGAAGAACTGTCCACTGTAGTGGTTTGCAGGACAGGGTTCACACCGGCTACTGTCCTCACTCCAGTATGTTCCAGCTAAGCAGTTACACACTCCACTACTGCTACCCGGAGTAGTGCAGTTCACACAGCTCTCTCCATCCCAAGATAGTCCACTTGGACAGTGACACTCTTCAGAGAGAGGGAGGGAGGTAGCTTCATGAGGACATCTCCAGCAAGTACCCTGTTGTTTGTCTTTAAAGAATTTTGCAGGACAGACTTTACAAGATCCATCCACGCTGGAGTTCCATTCCCATCCATACCCCTTCTCACAGCTGCAAACTTTTCCATTGTTGATTGGCACTGATCCTGCAAGACAACTCACACAGTCACTCGGGGCAGTTCCTCCTTCCTTGCTGACTGTACCACTTGAACATGGCACACAGCTGCCGAGGTTAGAGTAGAGGTAAGTGCCAGCGACACAGGTGCAGTGTGCTGATCCTTTTATTGAAGTAGAATTTTCCGGGCATTCCAGACATTCATCTCCGTCAGGACTCATGTAGGTGTCATCATTGCAGGAGCAGTAGATCCTGCGAGGGAAGTGGAGTTGGTAGGACAGGAGAGACAGGAAGACGCTTCACTAGGTTCGGGGGAGTAGGTATTGGCTGAGCATTGTTCACACTTGTTGCTGTTTGGACTTTTGTGTCCAGGTGGGCAGACGAGCTTGTAGTTGTTGTATTTTGGGAGAGCACACCATAGCCAGACGTCGTTGTCGTGAGTTTCTCCGGTGGTGTCTGTTCCGTAGACACACAGCGGAAACACGTCCTCACTTTCCAAACAATTTAAGTCGTTATACATGATTGTTAGACTTTCTTGAAATTGGTATTTCTTACCAATGCTCCAGCTCATGACTTTGTCGTACCCCATGATACGACAAATCAACTCCGCGGTCGTTTCATCAAACTTGTTGCCACTTACCGTCCCTCCGTTGTACATGAGGAGACCGTGTCCTTTTTGAGTGTCCTGTTTGTCTTTGTTCTGGGTGATTCCAGTTAAAACAGGTGAACGGTAACAGAACACTGCGGCTCTAGACCAGTACAGGTCGAAAAATATAACCGGGACATCTGTCTCGTTAGGACTGCATGCAGTTCATCGGGTGCGAAGGGCCAGCATCCCTTCCACCTCAAATAACAACGCTACTGAAACAACACACACATCAAATGGACGGAGTGCTACTTCCAATTCAAGGACGGATGGTTCCAGCATGACGGAGGCTGGGCAAAGCCTACGGGACCCCAGTCGCCTGATGAGAAGAGGGGGTACTCATCATCCGACCAGATTCATTAGTCAACAGATCATCCATGTTGACCCTGCTTCCAACAAATCCAATGCAGTAAATTATTGCAAACAGTTTTTACGTTTTGGAACATGGAACGTTCTATCTCTTGTCAGCTCATCTACACAGCTCTACCAACTTAGTAAAAACATTGATCAGTACAGATTGGATTTTTTGGGGATCACCGAGACTCACATGCCTGGATCTGGCACCACTCTACTGGACAATGGCAGTCTACTCATCCATTCCGGTAGAGTCGACGGGATCAAGAGACAGGGAGTCGGTCTCAGTCTTTCAAAACGAATCAGAAACTCCCTGATATCGTTCACTCCCACATCGGAGCGGGTTTTAACTGCTAGGCTGCATAGTAAGCAAATCAACATCTCTGTTGTTGTGGCCTATGCTCCAACTGAGGAGAGTGAGAAAGATAAGTTTTATAGGACACTCACAGATACATTTGATGGGCTACCTCGTCACGATATCAAGTTACTGCTCGGCGATTTTAATGCAAAAGTAACATCAGGCAGATATGGAAGTGAAGCGGTCATCGGTGGGGAATCACTCCATAGCTCATCAAATGACAACGGGACAAGACTTGTGGATTTCTGTGCGACGAACCAGCTTGTCATCGGGGGAACTCTCTTCGAGCACAAGAACATTGACAAGGGAACAGGGCGGTCCCCCAACGGGCTCACCGTCAATCAGATAGATCATATCTGCATTGGAAAGCGGTTTCGTCAGTCACTTTTTGATGTTAGGGTATGTCGCGGGGCAGACATCGGCTCCGATCATTATCTGGTTCTAGGACTGCTGAAAATCAAACTTCAGTCAGTGACAAAGATCAACGCCAACAGGCCCAATGTGCCTGCCATTGAGCGCCTGAGGGATAGTACTACGGTTTTAGAGTACAATGTGGCTCTTCAAAACCGATTTGCAAGTCTGGATAGTGAGGTCGACCTCGAGGATATGTGGCGTAATCTCAGTCAGACCGTCACTGATGTTTCACTGGAGGTACTAGGCAAAAGACCCCGGAAGGCAAAGGAGCAACACCTGTCACGGAAGACCAAGGATTTATTGACTCAGCGGGCACAGTTTAAGCGCAAAGACCCAAACTCGGACACTAACAGGTCAGAGTATTCTAAACTTAATAAGTTAGTCAAGAAAAGCAGCAAGCTAGACGACAATAACTGGGCAGTTAGAGTAGCTACTGATCTTGAGGAAGCAGCGAGCAAAGGTCAGCAGCGTGAGGTATGGGCAAAGATCAAGAAGATCTCTGGTAAGAACAAGAAGCCTCAAGCATCTTGTGTCCGGGACAAGGACGGTAGGAAGATCACGGATCCCCAACAGCAGAGGGATAGGTGGAAGGAGCACTTTACTGAACTTCTGAACCCCCCATCATCAAGTGTCAACCTTGCCGACCTTGATACAGTACCACCCCAACCCCACTTTAACTCTCTCTCTTGTTCGGATGGACCACCCACCAGAGACGAGATTAGTTATTCCCTGACAAAGCTTAAGAACAACAAAAGCCCAGGAGTGGACGGGATAACTAACGAGCAACTGAAGTATGGTGCGAGTGCTCTAGTTGATCAACTAGAGTGTCTATTCAAGAAAGTGTGGGAAGAAGAGACTGTTCCTGAAGATTGGTTAAAGGGTGTGATCATTGTTATTGGGAAGAAAGGAGACACTTCAGTCTGCGGGAACAACAGAGGGATCACCTTAAGGTCTACAGCATCCAAGCTTTTTCAGATGATTCTTCTTAAGCGGTTACATGCTGGTATGGAGTGTCTCCTCAGGGAGAATCAGTGCGGATTTAGACAGAACCGCTCATGTATTGATCAGATTTATTCTCTCCGAACTATTATTCATAACTGTCTTGAGTTTAAAATTCCTCTTTACATTAATTTTGTGGATTTCAAGGCAGCGTTCGATTCTATCAGAAGGGACTTTATTTGGTGCAGTATGAGACACTATGGGCTGCCTGAAAAATATGTCAGAATATTTCAGTCATTTTTTGGGGGTACCATGAGTGCCGTGAGGGTTAATGGGGAGCTGACAGACTGGTTTGATGTTAACTCAGGCACAGGTCAGGGTGACATTCAAGCACCTCCTGTCTTTAATTTCTGCCTAAACTTTTCTGCATTTCTGGCTGAGACCAACAAGATCATCAGTCAAGGCGCAGTGCTGCAGAAAGAGATGAAGACGGTCGAGGAAAAGGTCATTCTGGACACCGATTATGCTGATGACATGGCTATTATGGACAACTCAGGGGAAGGCCTACAGGAATCAACTGATCTATTAGTTCATTACAGCTCCTACGCTGGGCTCAGAATAAATGCAAAGAAGACCCAATGCATGGCTGTAAGCAAGTGCGCCTCCCAGCGACCTTTCATCAAGGATGATTGTATTGAGCTGTCGGTTGAGGGTGAACCCGTCGAGCAGGTTAGCAACTTTGTCTACCTGGGTGCAACTATTAGTGGGGATGGGACAATCAACAGAGACCTGGATGTCCGTATCCAGAAGGCTAATGGCGCCTTTCATCAGCTCTGGAACATTTGGAATAGCAGAACTATAAAGACTCCAACCAAGATCAGGATCTATAGGGCTGCTGTCCTCACCATCTTGTTGTATGGAGCTGAAGTCTGGAACACCACCAAAAAGCAGATGAAACGTTTCGAGGTTTTCCATCAAACCTCCTTGAGAAGGATCCTTAGGATTAAATGGTTCTTTCATGTAACCAACGACGAAGTTCTTAGGAGGGCTGGCATCAAGTCAGTTGAGACTTTCATCAGTGCTGCCAGGCTACGTTGGTATGGACATGTAGTTAGAATGCCAGACTCTAGACTACCGAGGTTTCTGTTGAACTGGAAGCCAAACTATGGAAAGAGGTCAAGGGGCAGACCCCGTAAGAACTGGAAGTCCTGCGTACTCGAAGATGCTGCTAAGTTTACAGGTGTTGAAAACATCGACAACGACACAACAGAAGCTTTGGCTACCAACCGAGTACAGTGGAGACATATGTTACGCCGCCAACGCGATGTGTGTGATGCAGGCCACTCCAACGACTAGGAGGAGACCTTACCATGTAACATGTATGTGTTTGTCTTTGTCTACAAGGTAGAATGAGGTGGAGTCTCCTAGCTGCGTCCGAGCGTTGCATCTAAGCCAGAGAGAGTGGTCATATTTAATGTTGTGAGCTGTCTGGTAACGACACTGTGGAACTACACTACCTGTACATTCAAGGTGAGAATACCTGAGAGGGTAGTTCTGCTGCCATTCGTAATTGCGACTATAGGTGTAGGCGCTGAAGGACTGGTAGCCTAACATCCGGCACATCCAGGTCAGGGTGGTAGAGAACGTTCCTATTCCAGCGCAGTGAACTGTTCCTCCGTTAAGATCAAGGAGTCCGTAGTCAAACGTCTTAGGGATCATGTTGTACTTGTAGGAGTCGGTGTTAACGAGATGGTAGTTGTAGATTGCTGCTGCTCCTGAAATAATCAATTGTTAAGATGCTTTTAATGATGCATCTAAACTGTTTTAACTTCCTTCGTATATTAATTTACAGTACTGGAAACAGGTGTTTCAGCACTAACAGGTCATTATGCGAACAAGAAGTGTGCCTCGTAATAGAGAGGACGAACTTGATTTCTAAATAATCTCAATTTATGTCTTGCAATCTTTATGATTGTGAATTTAATGTATTTGTACTCTACAACTTGTACTCTACAACTTGTAGTACAAGTACAAGTACGGTATAATAACTAAATATAAATAATTTATAAATGTCCCAATAAAAAAGCAACCACGTGATCAGTGTTAACGACTCAAAAAAACGTGATTTATCGTTTACACTTTACAGGGTTTGACCTCCCGAGTCAGTGAAAAATGTTTCAAGTCTCTAGTTTATTTGAGTAGAGTGTGGCAGCCGCATGAAGTTTTTTACAAACTGTCTCATATCTTTCTCTTTTTTAAGCTGTTGTCTTGTTATTTTACCTAAGTGAAGATCGCGTAATGCTGAGCTTTGATGTGTTTAAAATGCAAATGAGGTGGGCAATGAGCAATTTATTGCGGGTGTCATGTGATGAATGGGTACCCGACAACATGATCGGCTACTAGTTGAGCTACTGACTAATAATAATTATTTATGTCCATAAATCTTTATTAACTACAGGAAGAAGTGATGGATTCAGACGGCAAGGGGTAGGTTTAGTCCTCTCGAAGAAGACTAAATATTCAGTGGTTTCATACGATATCAGAACGTATTCTTGCAGCGAGGCTGCACAGTCGACATATCAACATTTCGATTGTGATAGCTTATGCCCAAACAGAGGATGCAGCAGGCGGGGTAAAAGATGACTTTTATCAGCAGTTATCTGGGGCATTTGATGAACTACCAGCTCATGACGTGAAGTTTTTAAATGCCCGCAGTGACCAAGATAACTCAGCTTGGTCCGGTGTGATTGGTAAGCATTCCCTTCACGTTTCATCAGATGACAACGGCCTTCGACTGTAAGATTTCTGTGCGATACATCAGCTGACAATCGGTGGGACCCTTTTCCAGCATCGTGATATTCATAAAGGTAGTTGGAGGTCCCCAGATGGCCGCACAGTAAATCAGATTGACCATGTCTGTATGGTCAATTTAGAGTCAAACTTTTGGCCGTTCAAAAAATGAACGCGTCTCGTAGAATATCTCCAGCGATTGAGAATCTTAGAGATTAGTCAAAGGTTGAATATTACTGCATTGCTCTTCAAAATCGTTTTAGCTGCGCTACCAATGGAGGAGAATCTTGATGGAGAATGGACATTAGTTAGGGATACTATTAAAGAAGTGTCTATGGAGGTACTGGGTGAGCGCCCCCGGCGCAGAAAGCAGCAGCATATGTCCAGGAAACTAAAAGCCTTATTGCAGAACGCAGTAAGATCAAACAGAAGGCTCCTAGTGACAGCAACATTGAACAACAGGAGTGAATATTTTCGGGCCAACAAACTTGTTAAAAAGAGCTGCAGGAAAGACGACGAGAATTGGGCTCTTAGAGTTGCAGCAGATCTGGAAACAGCTGCTGTCCATGGCCGGCAAAGGGAAGTCTGGCAACGGATAACAACACTGTCCGGTAAGAAGAATCGGAAATCAACTGCTGTAAGAGATAAAACTGAGAGGTTGATTGCTGATCCCTCTGCTCAGAGCTTCAGAGAGAGAGATGGGGAGAACATTTTTCGGAGCTATTAAACCCTCCTCCCACGAATGTGGATCCGTCTGACCTGGACCATCTTGAAATGGTTCCCTGCTTTCCATATTTTAGTGATGGTGATGGTCCCCCCACTAGACTTGAGGCTTTAAACCGTCTCATAAAATTGAAGAACTACGAAAGTGCTGGGATTGACGAAATCTCTAATGAACAGTTAAAGTAAGGAGCAAGTGGTCTTGTGGATAGGTTGAAGATATTGTTCTCTAAAGTTTGGAATTCAGAAACAGTGCCTGACGACTGGTTGAAAGGCATCGTGATAATTGTCCCGAAGAATGGTGATACATCCTACTGCTCCAATAAGAGGGGATCACTCTTAGATCTACAGCATCTAAACTGTATCAAATCATCATATTACAACGCATGAGTGACAGTTTAGAAGGTTTGCTACGAGACAATCAGTGTGGGTTTAGGAAGAACAGGTCATACATAAACATTGATCTGATTTATTCACTCCGGACCATTATAAGATTATAGATGACTACCTTGAATATAATCTACCCATGTTTATAAATTTTGTAAACTTCAAGGCAGCTTTTGATTCGATCGACAGGAATTATATTTGGAAAGCTTTCAGTCATTAATATTGCCTGCCATGTAAAATGTAAAAACATCCGAATTATACAGGCATTCTTTAATGGAACTGTCAGTGCTGTCGGGCACAATGGTGAATTGTAAGAATGGTTTGAAGTAAGTTCTGGCAGTGGCAAAGGGGACATTCAGGGTCCCCCACTTTTTAATGTCTGCCTCAATGTGGCTGCTGAGAGAACAGAAAGCATCAAAGTGGTGTCTCAGGGAGCGGTTCTTCAAAGATCCATCAGTCCGCTTGTTGATGATATCACTGTGTTAGATACGGATTATGCAGATGACATGGCTGTACTGGATAGCAGCGAGGAAGGTCTTCAAGAAACAACTGAACTTTTGTGTATGTATGGTGCCCAGTGAGCCCTCAGAATCAATGGTAAAAAGACTGACGCTATGGTAATTGGTAAAGCAACCTCTCAACGCCCATACACGAAAGTCGAAAGAAGACACTGTGAACATTACTGTTGAAGACACGCCAGTGCAGCAAGTAAGTGACTTTACGTACTTAGGTACAATTATTTCCAACGACGGCACTATCGACCGTGAGCTGTCTGTTAGGATTCAGAAAGGTTCCGGAGCCTTCAACCAACTCAGTAATATATGGAAAAACCGCAACATCAGGTCTTATACAAAGATCAGGATTTATAAGGCAGCGGTTTTGACAATATTGTTATATGGTAGTGAGGTTTGGAACACAACCAAAAAGCAGCTACATCGCTTTGAGGTGTTCCGTAAGCGTTGCTTGAGGAGAATACTTAGGATAAGATGGCTAGTGACCGTAAACACTGGAGGGAGACATAAACGGGAGTTCGTTGGTGCAGGCCACTCGAATGATTGAGGAGACCTAATCAAGTACATGTAAGTAATCTGGGGTACATACTCCCAGTAACTCCAGATCTAACCCATTTTTAGGTCAATCATATTTTATCCATGGATCACATCACTAATTAATCGTTCCTAATTGGCAACGTAAGCTTCAACTTCAAGCTTGAACAGGATTAAACAGGATTAAAAATAAATTTGTCAATGAGAGCCCTAAACTCACGTCAATCAATATAGAAATAAATAAATACATAATGTGCAAGAGTGTTCTTGAAATAAAAATTGTAAAAATCATAAAAATTTAACTTCGTCACATCTTTGTTGAAAGAGAAACAAGTGCGAATAAAATAATTTAATTCCCATGAGCATGTTCCAAAATGATATGATATGATGATATGAATTAGTAACCGAATATCAACAGTTCAGTGTCAAAATGAAATGAAATGAAGCTCGACTTGACCGTCCATGTTAATTATTTGATGACGGTGGGTAAGATCACTTGGTTCTTCTAAGTTGGGCTGTCAACAGGGTAGATCAAATTTACGGCGAGTCATTAACAAAGGTCACTTGGTTGCGTATTTTGGAAGCCCTGTACTACCAGTATATATATTCAGTCATCAATGAATCAATTGGGTCGAAAAACAAGTTGATATATATATCTGAACCCGTTTACCTTGGATGGAGCCCATGAAGCATAGAAGAAAGATCATTGTTTGACTTCATATACCTTGAAAGAAAATGTTTGCATAAGTTAAAACTTAGATTGAATCGTGATAGTCGTTAAATGAAATAATGTTAATTTATGACCGCGACGACAAGACCTACTGGTGATGCAATGATAAGACCTGCTCCGGACGCCTCAATCTGACGAACGACACTACTGTGACCAGTACGAAGACTCATTCCCACCCTCCTACTCCTGCAGCAAACTCTGTCTACACAGCAAAGCAGAACATGATACGGAAAGCTTCCGATACTGACCTCTCTACGAAACACCTAATTGCTGACGCTGTTGGACCCCTCTCTTTCGAAGCCATGTCAAAACTCAACTGTCAGCAGGAATCCCTCACTAAGATGGCACGTGGAAGATCAACCAGAAGATGCTCAGACAACCACCTCCTCCCCGACTGAAGAAGTGGATCGATTACGACCGTCGCTTGAACGTTGTGATTGATTGCTACGATGATTATGACAGAATGGACTATTTGAAGTGTATTGGAACAATGATTTTGAATTGAATATTGTGAGTGTAATCTTTAATGAAATATTTTTGATTTAATATTTAACCCCAATACTCATACGCGACTACACTCTTGTCATTAAAACTGTTAAAAAAAGTTCTTTTGGTTTAGTTCGTGAATTTTTGTAGAGTGGAGAGTGGGATTCGCATCTCCAAGTTCACCAAAAGGGATGGAGCCCTGAACGTTACAATAAAAAACTGAGAAGTTTCCCGGGGGTCCTGGATTTTTCATGCTAGGGTTACAAATAAAGATAAGGAGAAAATTGATGAGTAGTATCCAAAGGTAAAGTGATGCAGTTATATTTTGTAGACATGGGATTAAACCTCGTTTGGGATTGTATTTAACAAACAACGTATGTAGTGTTTTACCTCTAATAGATAAGCTATTCATTGTACGTCTAATTGCAATACCAATGATAACAAGGTAGAAATTGCAAAGTAAATTACCAAGACTGTTAATATTTAGTAGGAGGGGAAATTTAATAAGCTGGATCAATTTAGCAGGATTTGTAGGCGGGTTTTCAGAAACACAGGTGGTAAAACAGGGTAACATAACAAGGAAGAAATAATAGTACAGAAAAGCAAGACATATGAACGGGTGTGGAATATATTGCTGGATTCTTTGTTCTCTTCTTGTTTGAGTGGCTATCATTGAAGTAGCCAATACGTTTTCTATATCGTATTTTGTTTTATAAATGGAGTATTATTATTAAACGATGCAATTAGGGGACTGTAATTAGAATGACTGATAAGTGTAGAGCCGAGATTACTGATAAGGCGAAATGTTGTATGACGTGTTCTGAAATTGTTATGTTGGCTTAATTTGAAATATGGTTGCAGATCAGTCCTTTTACATATTGATCATAGTAATCTTATTTGTTTAATTCTCAGTCGAAACCGCAACTGTTTATATAGTTATAACATAGATCTAAAAATGGAGGTCTTAGAGGTAACGGTCCTTTACGAAATCTTAAGCTTAGTAAAATTAAATTTATCCAGCATGTCGAGAGTACAGATTTTCCAGTGTTATTCAAATGTAAGCTAAATAAATAAAACTAATGTACTATGACATTTGAAATAGGTGTTCTATTTAAACATTATTCCTGTCAGAACGTTGAATGAATATCAATAAAAAGCGTTGAGTTAAGCCTGGCAAACGATAAAAGGTGGACTAGCTAATAATGATATCGTGTCATGAAGTTCAGCAAAGTAGACGACTATAATACATGGCTCATAATAAGCATTGTCATACGTTGTATGACCCGCCGCGCACGAAGTGCGCGGCTCCCCCTGTAGCGTCTACTATAGTGAAGCGACCGTGGGGGTCACCACGTGATACAAAATAAACAATGCAATTGCTTGTATCACGTCGAGACCCCCGGCCATTGTCGTGACCCCCATTGTCGTTTCACCCCTTGGGAAAAACCATTTGTGACGAATTAAGGCAAAACGATACAAAATCATGGCTCCAGCTCTTATCTGTCTTATAGGAAAAAGTGTTTGTGAGTTCCGTTGCTAAGAGCAACAGAATCAAAAATGTAATTCAAAGTCATCCGATACCCCATTCACTGCTTTAATTTAGCATACCAGTACCAAATGGAGAACTGATGGAAAGTTCTACGAAATAGCGCGCGCCGGGCCAGACCTTTATTTTTTAACAATGGTCAAATATGTTAACCGATTCCGATGAAGTGAGCGGTCATGTCATTGGTCATTAATTAAATATACTTTTAAACTGTTAAATGACGTAGCCCATTGGCATTAGCTGGGAAAACTCCCTGAATACATAATATGTGCGTATTCCCAGCAATCCTGACTGGCTGGCGATAATACTACAGGTAATTGCGTCTTCACACTTACACTCACTAGTCAGTGTAATAAACGCCAAGCGCGAGCACAGAATTTTTTTTTCTCCGATTGTACAAAATTTTATACCAATGTTTTAGTCAAGATGTAAATAAACTCCAGTGTGACCTCTGTACTGCACTGTTACTGCTAGGAAGGCATTCTTTTTATTTTACGTACAAGCTATAAACAATAGGTTATTTTACGGATGTAGTATATCTAAGATTTTATCCAGTATGTATATATACAATAATTATACATGCTGGATAAAATCTTAGACTTAAACTTATGGCTCTGAACTTGTACTCACCGGCCTCACTATAGTTTAGTATGGTTTAAGTAGATAATAAAGTTAGTAGCTGAAAAAATAAGCATGAAACCTGCAACTTAAAGTCCTTAAAGTCTGATAATAAAATTCTGGTGCAAATAGTATTGGATCCCAAAAGAGTTGCGAAAATAACAAGAGAGCTTTTCGAATATGTTGCACGGAAATCTGACCGAAAGGACCGTGGCCGTACTGCAAAAAGAAAAGGTTCGCCAATTTGTTGTTTGCTGAGAATAAGAACCATATGCTTTTTGCAAGAATTAGCGCTGGCGCGCGCGCTAAATTTATTATGTGTATGTAAAAAGTTGATGCGTTAACACTTTGATCTGAACGTGAACTCTTCGTAGCGCGGATCACTGGGATTTTCATTTTGAAATAACTCGCATACCAATGCAGGAATTCATAATATGAAGGTGTAGGACTCATAACACATTGATGAGATAAATATTGGTATCAAAATTTTACAAAAAACCTCGTTCGGAGGATGGTAAGAAAACGTTTTTACACATTGACAGTCAAAAACAAAAAAAAATAATATCAGTGTCAAATAAAGCGAGTGAAAATTGCTACCAGTACCCGGTAGTTTTCAATGCTTCCGTATCCCCCGCACACTTTAAAAAGCATACAAACGATATCCGGACAAAAAAATTCTGTGCTCGCGCTTGGCGCTTATTACACTGACTACACAGCTTGTTGAGCTCCGCGCTCGCTCGTAAGTTCATTATTTGCACGCTTCAAACATTCCAAGAATGCAATTGCACCACGTACCACGTGATACTGATACAATTCAGCCAATCAGAGAACAAGAATCCGCAAATTTAAAGCTGCGCACTTTTGTAAGGCCCAAAATAAGACTTTTCGCGATAATTCAAAATCTATAATGTCCCTAATTGTCCTCCTCTAAGATGAGAAATAGTAATACGTACGGTACGTACCTTTAAAAATAGCTGTACGGTACGTACTTTTAAACTTGGCTGAAAGGTAGTGCTTGCAATTGCAAAAAAATATGCACAATAACCACGTTCACACGACAACTTTCATGGAAGCTGAATTCGCTCATCGCTGCATTTCAATTTATACGTACCATTAGATTTAGAAGTAGAACAGTTGTACAATACGTGCGCGCAAGAATGTTCCATAAAGGTTGGAACATGTGACATTGGATTTGGCGCTTTGAACTATAAGTATGGTGGTTGAAAAAGTTGGCAGATGTTGTTTACGCGATTTTGAGCGCATCCTCATTGTGTGAAACAAACTTTAGAGACTTCGAATATCTTATGAATAAAAGAACTAGAAGACTGAGGCTAAAGCCTCAGCTCGCTGAAAAACTAGTGTTTATTTACTCCAATAAGCACATTAAAATGTGATACTGATTTTATCTGTCACTGCTCATTTTATCTCTCACTGTTAATTTATTATCTTAATCCCAGAATAATTTTTAGCAACTTTCAGACACGTTTTCAAACATAATCCAACAGCTACAGACAACTGCTGCAAGGAACTATTTCTTCCAGATGTAATGAATCGAAATTTAATAGGGTCCTTGTGCATTTTTGTCGTACCATACAGATATGGAAGCTTTCTTTTCTCAGACTTGATTTTAATTCCATGAGACTTGAGGAAGTCTTCATGTCAGAGAATGATTTCAGGATCTTGTTAAGGTTGATATCCTCAACATATTTATTAGTGTACTGAACTACCATGTAATTGTTACTTTTAGGTTGACTCTTCTTTGACCAAACGTATTTACATCGATACAATTAGTATAATGTAAACAAACAAAACCCCGATTTACCACGAACCCCGATTTACCGCGGATGTTTCCTTTCCCCCAAACTCCGCGGTAAATCGGGGTTTTACTGTATTTAAAAAGTTTCGATTCCGCAATAATTTCCGTTCACAAATTAGTTGGGATCATGATTCATACATATCAAATTCTGCATACATGTATATATTGATATTGTATAACTCAATCTATAGCATATAATAAGACGGGTGTACTCATCAATTAATTTGGTTTAAACACTACTTTATTTAGCTCCTTATTATATTTGAAATCCGAATTGAATATTATTTATGAGAGTCAAATTTCTGTTGATCCCACGTTTGATTACGATGTTGTCACATTGAAACGTTGAATAATTCCTTTCCTCCTTATTTTATTTTTCATAAATATCTTATCATAAATATCTTATCAGGAGCAAAGAAAAACAGTCCTGGCTGTTCAAGAACCCTAACAGGGCCGGAACACACAACCAGTGATAGCAGGAAATACAACAAGCAGTGGCGTAACAACAAAAAGAACTAGAGGGATAGAACAGGTTACCACTTCCTGCAAAGAAGAAGAATAAAAAACATTCCCCCCATCTCACGTGCAGGCAGATTAAAAATCTTACTGTTATCTATATTTTGAGACCTCATGTGGCGTGTTTTTCTGCTTTTTATACTTATAATACTAAAGATTCTGCAGTCTTAACTCTTATACTTTTCAAGTAAAAATAATTGACTTCGGTAAAATTGTAATATATTGCCGACTCGCTATAAAGGTTTAAAACATGAGTGATTGTTGGTTGTAAAGTGCTAAGTATTTTTCCTTCTTAAATGGCTATATAAAAAGGCTTGTTATATTAGCCGGAGTTTAGCAGCTCTGAAACAACCTTATGATAGAGCGCACAAATACAGAGCAGCTGTTATGAACAGTAAACTAATAGCCATTTAACG